GCCCTGGACGGCAGCAACCTCCGCCTGGCCGCGGAGCAGCGTCTGCTGTGAGCGGGGCGTGGGGGGCTGAGGGTCCAGCAGAGGGAGCGCGCGCCCATTAAACAGGGTCAGGCGCTTTTTCCTTTAAAAAGAATATATTTACTTATATTTAGGAAGCGCGTGCGTTTGCTAATGTTTTTTTTTTCCTCTGTTATTAGAAAAAAATATACAGATGAAATCTGTGCCAATCAACCCACGGAAGATTATTTTGCTCAGTTTAATACAAGAAGTCGATAATGCTAATGACAACCTCGGTTTAAGAATAAAGAAAGTGTGGCCACCTTGAAGTATGTATCTCCTTTCTTTTAAAAAGATTCATTCCTTGGTCCTGAAGTGCCCTCTGACAGCTGGGCAAACCTTCAGCGCTTGGGGCTGTGGACCTGGGGTGGGGGAGACAGGGCCCCTTAAGGGACCGTACTAGAGGAAGTGGCATAGTGCGTGGACCTGGGAGAACCAGGGCTAGAGCCCGTAACCAAGTGCTCACTCTGCAAGCTCACATCGATGGCAGGCATCATTTCTAACACTTCCCAAAGACTTACCTGCACCGGGTGGTGGTGCACACCTGTAATCCCAGCACTCTGGGAGGTTGAGGCAGGATTGCCCGTTCAGACTCAGCCTAGGTAATTTAGCGAGATCCCGTCTCAATAATAAAATAAAAAGGGCCAGGGATTTAGCTCAGTGGCACTGCGCCTGCCTCGCAAGAGCAAGGTCCTAAGTTCGATCTTGGTACCAAAAAAGTAAAATAAAATAAGGTGGGCTGGGGTTGTACTGCAAAAAAAATTTTTTTTAAATTAACTACTTTGATTCTTATGACAGCCAGCATTTTTATCACCCACATTTTCTAGTTGGAGAACCTGAGTACAGACAGAATGACTTCTTGATCCCACCACTAGGGATTAACAGCTCTGGGGAGCCCCAGAACCTGCCGTCCAAGCCACTCTACTCTCCAGACTGTTAGCAGAGACCCCAAGCATCAGTGGCTTCAACCAAGTGTAGCTTTTTATTTCTTGCTTTTGGAAAAACCCAAGAGCTGCCCCTCACCCGAAAGGTCGGGTCCAGACCACCAGGGCTCCAGCCCCTGCTGTGCCGCTCCCTGCAGGCCCCTCCCCTTTCAGGGACAGGGCTCTGTGTTCACACTCCCACTCTGACTTGAGCTCCTGACAAAGGGTAGGAGGCTCCACCTTCTGTGTCACCAGTGCATTTCCTAAGATGACACCGGTGCTGCCACTGATAACAGCTGCTGGAACTTTATCCCCCTATGCAGGAAACCAGGAAAGCCATGCTGATCTTGAAGGCTGAGGTTGCCATTGTGGCCGTCACTGGGCACATGCAGAGAGGCACCCAGGGAAGCCTGTTCTTTGTGGAGCCCTGCCTGGGCTAGTCCAGCGGTAGTGCTGAAGTGGACTAGGGTGTCTGGACAATCTCCAGGCCTCAGCCTCCTGCAGGTGACTCCAGGAGCGTCTGCTCAGCCCTCTGTCAAGGGACTGCCCACATGTGAACAGCCTGGGACCTGTCCTAGGGGAGTTCCGTATCCTGTGGACTGTGCCAACCACAGGTGGACAAGCCCCTCCTCTGTCCCTTGAGCGAGGCAGAATCCTGCTGTGACATTTATCAAGATGTTGCTAAAGGTCCAGGGAAGCAAAGGACCCACATCTAGGGGAAATCAGAGGCCCAGAGCCTCTTCCTGGGTCTACCTCTGCCCACTGCACTCCACCTGGCTGGACACAAGTGAAGGAGACCCCACTTGCTACCAGGCTGGAGCAAGCACCCTTGGCCCCACTCTGTGGAGCCCAGGGCCCTGGAACGTTGCCCTTGTTTCCTGAGTGATTAAACTGTTTCTGCTGGGGAAGGGGCAAGAGAGTGGCATAGTCATTTCCTGGGGCCACTGCAAATATCAAAAAGCTGCACACTGGCTTTGACAGTAGACATTCACAGCACATCACAGCTCTGGAGACCCGAAGTCTGGGGCCGGAAGTCTGGGCTCAGGAGTCAGCAGGCTGGTTCCTCCAGTCTAGGAATGGGGTGGCTGTGACTGGGGTTTTTCTGGTGACCCTTGTGTGAGATCTGACTGACCCCCAGAGACTGTTGCGCACCCCTCCCCTTACCGAGGACACAACATTCCATTTTGGCCTTGACTCGTCGGGATGGAAAGCTTGGGTCAGCTCCCTCAAGGACCAATTATTGTTCTATTGCTCATCCTCATATTTGGTCCCTGCACGGAAAGATGGAGATCAAAACTCATACATAGAGAGCAGCTGCTGCCCAACATTATCAGATGCTAATTATGTGGAATAATGAAAATTGGTATGGACAGAACAAGGGGTAAGGAGTTAGCCCCAAACAAAGGGAGGAATGATAGGGAAAACTTTTATGAATGGCAAAAACCTATAAAGTGTTACAGTGTAAAAGGGCTTCTGCTGTCTCTAACTGCAGTTTGTTTTGTTTAGCTCAGAACTAATAGGCACCGAAGGCACTCACTGCTGAATGAGGCATTTGGCCTTTTCCTGAGACAACAGGGCACCTCAAGGTCTTGAGCTCTGATGAGAATGATCGTAAAAGTGTCTAAATGAAAGAACCATTATTAACACTTGCTTTCCTCACCCTGAACACCCCCTTTGAGCTAGGAGAGATAGCTAGGCGAATCTTCAAGGTAAACTCCCCAGCCCCAAAGAACCGTTACGTCTGGGTTGAAAGTTAACTGTCTTGTGACCATGATTTGTTTATCTGTAAATGAAATGTAACCACCTGAATGAGGTCATGGCTGTAAACTCTATAAAACCTATGCACAGTCCTGTAATGGGGCTTCACTTCCCTTAGAGAGTGGAGTCCACATGTGTGAAATAAACTTCTTTCAGTCTTATCTGCGTCCCGGTATTTGGTGTACTTGCTGGCTTGGTACAACACCTTGGGGGTTCTTGGCATGTGTCACCCCCTAATCTGCACCCTCTTCCACCTGCAAGCATTTGGTTTTGTGTGTTTTTAAGAGTTTGTACCCACATTTCCCTTTTGTAAAGACACCAGTCATCTAGGGCCTACTGTAATTGAGGTAGGAGAAAAGAAAGAAGAGATGAAAAAATCATAATGAAAAATTTTCGTTTTTAACAAGACTGCACCTTCCAGGAACCAGCTGAAGTTACACCAAGGTGATACATATCAGCATTCTTTGATTAAATTTAGACTCCTTGCCTAGCGACCCATCACACTGCAAATTCCTTAGGAATACTAAAAATCCATAAATTGGCTTCACTGAGAAAGTAAGAGAAAGGAGCAAGTTGACCGAACCCAGAGAATGTTCAAATTTACCTTTTTCTTTTCTTTTTGTACCAGGATTTGAACTTGGGACCTTGTGCTTGCAGGGCAGGTGGCAGCACCACTGAGCTAAATCCCCAGCTCCAGCCCTCAAAATTACCTATTAAAAAAAAAAAGCGTACAGGTAGAAGAGGCCAGTACGTTTTGGGGGGCACGTTTTCCCTGGTTCTTCCCCCTCCCTCAAGAGAAATAGAAATGCTTTATTGTGTTCACTACCCAGGATTGAACTCAGAACTTGGGCTTGCAAGGCAGACACGGAGCCACTGAGCTAAATCCCCGGCCCAAGAAATATAAACGTGTCCAGCTCCGAACTGCAGTGTGTCGTTTCTCTGCACACCTTCACTTTGCTCTGGATCTCGTCCCAAATCCCTAATAAACTCTTCCAGAGCTTCTTCCTGATGCCTCCTAAGAATTCTGTCAGAGACCCTGCTGCAAAGGGTGGGTTAAGGTCCTTACTTCAGCCTCAGGGCCCCTCAGACTCAGCCTGGTGACATAATGACCTCGTCCTACCCACTGCCTCCCTAATGACCCCATTTCCCAATAAGGTTACTTTTTGAGGTCCTGGGGGTAAGGGATGCAACGTATTTTAGGGGACACAATTCAGGCCATCACGGGGACATGCAGAGAGGCGCCCAGTCCCATTACCTCCAGGATACACCCCTGAGGAGCACTGGTGTCCAGACTGCACGAAGCCTGCAGGGATGGTAATGGACAACCAGGGCAGACAGACGCTTAACACGCCTACGTTTCTGGGGAGGGGGACAGTGAGACGTGGGCGTGATGTCAGTTCTCTCCTTGAACAATGAGGGATCTTCAAGTCCAGGATCTCCTGCCAGGAACTGCCACCGATTAATGGGACACACAGGAACCGGAGTGGAGCCCTACATGAGATCTGGGGGCCACTGCAGCCATGGACAGTACATTATGTCTTCAGGACCCTAGGCCCAACGTGAAGAGGCCGGCTCCCCCTCCCCCGCTCCCTCTCTCTGAATTTTGCATCGTTGTACCAGGCCTGGTGGGAAAATTTTGCACCTTTGTTTTCCCACGGGCTTCCTTCCCCTGCGCCATCTGCTGGCGACCATGAGCACAGCCCCTTCTCTGTGGTTCTCCAGGCAGGAAACTGCTGCGCAGGGCAGGTGACAGCGAAGCCTGCGCTGCTGGATGCTGTGATGGCCCCCTGCTAAAAGAAAGCAGGATGGGAGAGGCTGGGGTTTACTGTTGGCTGGAAGGCAGAGCCAGGGCCTGTTCGGTCTCCTCTGTTATCCCTGAGTGGCCTGCTGGGGTTTTCCGCACACAGCACACATGCTCCAGAGGATTGTTTTTGCTTCTGTTCTTAACTTTATACCCAACATTTTATTACAAAAACCTTTAAGCATGCAGAAAAGCTGAGAGACTTGCCCAGTACATCCCTACAGCCCACAGTTCGCGATTGCTATTTTGCTGTGTATATTGCTTCTTTGCCTGTCACTACGCAGACTGAAGCTTGCTGTTTCACAGTGCTCATAAAAGACACAAGCAGCTCAGGAGAGTTAAGGATAGTGACCTTCGGAGGTCATCTGAATTCACCCAAGTAACTTACAACCACTCAAGAGCACGCACAAGAATATCTACAAGCACTTATTTAATTTAATTTAATTTATTTATTTGATTTTTAAAAATTGACAATACCAAACCATGGCCAAGACGGAAGTGGAAAAGAGGAAATTTTACAAGTTAAACAAACATTTTATCTACAACCTGGCTATTTCAGGAGAAAATAAAACACATGTCCACAAAAAGGCTGTATAGAAATGTTCATAGAATCTTTATTCATAAGAGCCCAAATGACAGTTAACCCAAATGTCAACCAACATGTAATCACATACACAAATGTCTTATGTTCATAGCACTCCCCAGTTACAAGAAACAAATTACCTGAGAAAATAGCTGAATAAGAAACCCTAAGCAGTGCCGGGGATTTAGCTCAGTGGTTCGGTGGCCTGCTTTGCAAGCGCAAGGACCCGAGTTCAATCCCTGGTACCAAAAAAAAAATAATAATAATAATAAAGAAACCCTAAGCAGTGCCGGGGATTTAGCTCAGTGGTTCGGTGGCCTGCTTTGCAAGCGCAAGGACCCGAGTTCAATCCCTGGTACCAAAAAAAAAATAATAATAATAATAAAGAAACCCTAAGCAGAGGGCACTGTGGCACAGGTCTGTAATCCCCCACTTCTCAGGAAGCTGAGGCAGGAGGATCTGGAGTTAGTGAGACCTTATCTCAAAACTTTTTAAAAGAAGAACTGGGAGCCCAGCATGGTGGCGCACGCCTGTAATACCAGCACTTGGGAGGCTGAGACAGGAGGATTGCTGTGTTTGAGACCAGCCTGGGCTATATAGTGAGTTCTGGGTCGGTCTCAACTACATAGTGAGACCCTGTCTCAAAAAAAACCACAAAATTAATTAATTAATTAATTAAAATAAAAGAAGAACTGGGGATGTAACTTACTGCCCTCTGGATTCAATCTCAAGTTAAAAAAAAAAAAAAGAAACCATTATCAGAAACACTGTACCAGATACAAAATAGTAGCATTCTGCGTATACAAATCCAGAATCAACAAACTATACTGTCAGGTATATCGTGGCTTGGGACAGAGCCATGGGTGGCTGACTGTAGATGGGATGAGGCTACTTGTTTGGATGGAACTGCACAAACGAAAATCACACACACAGGGCCCGCCGGGACTGCAAAGGGAAGGCCCTTCCGAACCCAAGGCGCACCCAGTAAGCTCCGTTGCTCGCCACCTTTGCGATGTTCGCCAGCAGGTGGCGTCGCGAACGTGCCTGCTCCTGGCCCATGGGAGTCCTGATCATCTGGATTCTACCTGTGCCTCTAGTCTCTCTTGGAAGAGAGGGGCTGGCCTGCAGGCACTATCTCAGCCTGTACAACAGCCACTCTGGAGCGTCGGGGCAGTGAGACACCGGGCCACCTGACTGAGCAGCCCTCCGGATCCTGCTCAGAGGCGGGAACGTGGGGAGGAGGCGAGGGAGAAGGGAGCGGGGGCCTCTGAGTCCATCCCCTGAGAGTGAGCCTATGTACTGCATCCCCGTGATGTTAAAACAAGAAAGAAGCTGGAGGCAGCTGGGAGCAAGGCCTGGTAGGAGCTGCATGAAGGCTGTTGTGGTTTTCTATTCTTTCCTACGCCCAGCAAAGGCTCCGTCCTTGCCTTCTCCCCCCCCCACCAGCTTCACGCTCCCCACCGGAGAGCCCAGGTACCCCTCTGCCCATGGCTGGCAAAGTTAGCTTTGCCCACTCTGTGTCTCGCAGGGCTGCTTTCCTTCTCTTCTTTAGAGACATGAAGGAGGACTCCAAATCTCTTGGGGCCAGTGGATGTGACTAGGACGTGAACCGATGGGTTTCCTGGGACCAAAGAAATCTTTTCTTTTTACCAGATATTCTAAGAGAGCTTCCCAAACACTCTTGTTCTAACAGTGCCAGAAGAAAATGCCAAGCTTATTGTCCAATCTGGGGGGACAGAACATTCCTAAACTTGTTGAAGGAAGTAGTGGTTAGGGCCATCTCCTCCACACCCGGCTGGGCTCGGAATTAATCAGCCCACGGTTTCCCGTGGGGCTCTCGTCCTCACAATGCAGCTTTGTTGACTGGGTGTCCGGTAGGACTTGGCAGAGCCTAAGGATAGGACTCACAGCCATCGGGGTCTGCTGGGATAAGAACGGGAGCCAAGGCCACTCAGTGTCCTCAATTCAACTTCATCACCAGGGAGTCTTAGGAGATGGGGTCGTCTGTCAGAAGGGCAGTCCATAGGTCAAGGTCCCGCTCTCTCACGAGGAGGACCTTGTGGCCCAGAATATCACTGCAGGGAAAAAGGGCGCTGTGCTTGCAGCAGCAATAAACATGTCCAGCAAAATACGCTGCCAATATTTGCAGTGGATGATGTTGAACCCAGCACAGAGCTGGCACACCATGTTATATTATCTTATTAAAACCATGAGTCCGTGAGGCATATTACCAGTTTCACATCCCTAATGAGGAACTGAGGCTCAGAGGGGTGAACTAACTTTCCCAAGTTCCCAGGGCCAGCTAAAGTTG